GGGGGAAGGGCGGCCGGTGCTTAAGGCTGACAACCTCACCGCCATCTGTGAGCCGATTGTCTAGAAAATGTGGGAGCCTCGACACCTCAGAACCCTCTGGCCTCCACGGCCTGTTACTGGGATAACTTTACCTTTTCAATTTATATTAATAAAATGTAACACAAAAAGTACACGTAGAGAGATTGTGTTATTCTTATTATAATTATTATTGATTTGACTGAAATTGAGCTTGGTTTGAAAGGAAATTGGCCTTTACCATAGTTTTCTTTTTTCCGCATAGTGGGGGGAGGGGGTGGAGTCCAGTTAGGTCCACTCCGCACGGCGGCCACTGATTGGCCTACTGTACCTGTCCCGGGTGATTATGATGATGGAGAATTTGGTGGAATAAAGATTGGCAGGGGAAACCGAAGTACTCGGAGAAAACCTACCCCAGCGCCACTTTGTCCGCCACAGATCCCACTTGACAAGAACCGGTACTAATTTAATAAAAATCGCTTCACTTATTTAAACTTGAAATAGGGGGGACGGACACAAACAAAAATAAGTCTTCTCATTTTAAGGAAGAAACGTAGATTAAAAAGAGCAGAAAACTGAAAATATGTGCCACACAATGAATATACGTAATCTGTCGCGTGTGAATTGTAACTTCAATACATGGGGATATGTATTGGTGGGCGTTGCGTTTTGCCCAAACTTTCTCACCACGAAATGCCCCATTTCACGAAGGATATGCTCATTGTCTTCACCCATTTAAACAAACTACGTAAATTTATTAACCGCAAAACAAGCTAGCGTAAGAGCACGGTTTAAAATTACGAAATAAGTAATTAAGTAGTAATCAATGTAAGATTTGAGGTTTTCACGGCGGTGACTATGAAGAAGGCAGTCTTCTGGGATGTGGCACCGTGTAGAACACCACCATGTGTTAACACCACATCTCAGAAAACTGCTTTCTTCAAGTAGTAATCAGTTTCTAATATAACCCGACAGAGAGAAATATGTATCATACCGGCCTGTTATGTATTAACTCACGGTGAACTTGTAACTGCCGGCGAACGATGCATAAGTTCGCGCACCCAATCTGACCGACACCACAGTTTCACTCCTTGTGCACAACTGACTGGGTTAGACAGAAGAAGACGGACACCCCCCAAGGTGACGGAGCAGGAGGAAGACAGAATGCGCAGTTCAGTCTACTGAAGTTCGCGACGTCTGTCGTCAGTCTTGAAGACTTGTCATTCTGTCGTTTTCACTGTCTTCTCGCGCTAAAAAGATTACGATTGGTTTCTGAGAAATTACGCTGTGCAGTCTGGTAGATCGTTGCCGACGATTCGGAGGAACCTGTTGCCTCCATCTTCAGGGTGGGAACTCGTTGCATTAAAAATAAAAACGGTACAAGAAGAAGAGCAAGAATGCTGTAATCTCGAGTTTAACACCGTGTAGCCTGGTAGACAGTTGCCGCTGTTTCGGATGAACGTGCTGCTTCCAGCTTCAGAATTAAAACCTTCTGTCATATATTTATATATAGTGGGGCAGATAGCGTAGTTGATACAGGGACTGGATACGGGCTGGACGGGTCAGAGTTCGGGTTCCGGTAGGGTCGTAAAGTAAATTTGACTTTGATTTTGGCTAGAATTAATCAGTGTCAATTTACGACAGTGACTGAAGTTAGCTCTTTCTAAGAACCCCAACTGAGCAGGTGCCTTCCCCCCCCCCCTCACTTGAGAAAGGAAACATACCCAGTTTCCGAAACGCTATGTTTTCTGTTTCTTCGTAAAGATGGCACTAACTTCGCCGACAAGCGGCGGTCGCTCGGTCGGTATAGTTCGCTTGCGGACTCAAGCCACAGAGTTTGTTTTGTTGTATACCGGACGATGGAGAAAGTCCAAAAACCCAGTAATTCTGAATTTTGGAACTGTACAGTGAGATGGCTCTATCTGGGAAACCGTTCGGAATAGGACACATTTACATGTACACTTTTTTGCTTAGAATGACCGATACTGTGACCTCCCAGAATATTGACCCTTCCTCCTGGGACACCTGTATATGGATGCTGCAAACATGTCAGACTACAGCGTCGAATGGTACAAATGAAAAAACAATGGGTAGAAAAAGAAGCAGAAGGAATCAGTAGTGGTATAAATAGAGTATTAAACCAGCATTTTGCCTGAGAGGGAATGTGGGAAACAACCCAGTCATTAGAGATGTTATCTCAGCCTACATCTTAACCCGGCATGTGACGAATACTGCCACCTTTAGCGGAGAGAGGGTGTCGCGTGGTCAGGGTAACGAATCCCTACGGCCGTTAATCTCGGTTCTCTAGACATGAGCCGCTATTTCCTTGAAATTGTTCCTCAATTATCCTCACGAGGCTGAGTGGACACCGTTCCACTACTTCTCAGAAAATCTGGTAGCGCCGAGAATCGAATCCGGGACCTCCGGATCTGTAGGAAGAAACTCTGACCACTAGACCATAGAGGCGGTTAGTACTAACTTCGCTGACAGCGGTTAGCCGCTAGCTTCCCACCACAGCGGCCCAGGTTCGATCCCGGGTCTGGTCAAGTGGGATTTGTGGTGGAACAAAGTGGCGTTGGTGCGGGTTTTCTCCGAGTACTTCGGTTTCCCCTGCCAATCTTCATTCCAACAAATTCTCCATCATCATAATCACCCGGGGCAGGCTACAATAGGCCAATCAGTGGCCGCCGTGCCGAGTGCACCCAGTTGGACTCCACCCCCCACCCCCCCACTAAGCTAAATTAATAGAAAAAACTCCTCCAACAAGCGGCGGTCGCTCAGTCGGTATAGTTCGCTGGCAGATTCGAGCCAAGGAGTTTTTTGTTGTTGTTGTTTTGTTTTATATGACGAATAGAAGTACAACTCTTTACCGCTTTAATGAATTTGCTAAACGAATTGGACTAGGGCTTGGTATACACACAGATTTTCCATCACTTCACTTTTAGACAGTTGGTATATAGTTTATAAGGCTGGCCTGTTACACAGGCCCATATAGCGTCTAGCTAACTGCATGAAGTAGAGATCAGCCTTTTTATTTAATTAAGTTCCCGGGACCAGAATCCAGGATCTGATTTGATCTCTAAGCGATGAAAGAGCCAACCCAAGACAGAAGACTGCTCAAATTAACACACAGAATTAACTGTTACAATGACCAAGATTAATTTGTGTGACAGCGAAAGAAAACATGCAAAGCGGCACTGCCAGTTGGATCGATGCTTCATTATTAGGGGCGTGCGCCATTTTGTATCGCTATATGCAGCTGCTCCCTGGTGGTACTGGAGGAAACCCTCAGCAGCGGTGGCGGTATATATAACCATTTTTAATTCCCGAAATATTAAAATATAAGGTATACTTACTTACACATGGAGCTGAGCCCTTCTTGATGAACCGCCAATTCTGCAGCTACTCAAGAATTTCATATTTTATGGAACCCGAAGGCTCATTACCGTGTTTACTGGTCACTATCCTGAGCCAGATCAGTCCCATCCATACCATTCCATCCTGTCTCTCTAAGATCTATTTTAATATTATCCACCCAAAATATAAGGCATTTATTCAAATTAACGTCCAAATAAATTCGCGTTAACTACAATTTTCGTAAGAAGCTAGCATTAAAAGATACGAGGCAAAGTTTATTGCCAAAACTGTACAACCGAGCATGAAGATGACTCTATCTCTCTTTAAGGACAAAGTGGAAAAATAAAGTACGGCCGTCACGCACCGTTCCTGGCGCCCCGTACTGAAATCGATGCGGGCGTCGCACGGACAGTTAAGTGAGAGTATCTTTGGGACTGAAGTTGTTTGACCTTGGCCTTGAGGAACACGAGTGAGAGAGGGTGGTCTGAGACAAAGAGAGGTGAAGTGGGGGCGGGAGATGAATGCAGCTCGTGGCCACGTTGGCGGAGGTTAGGAGGGGGAAGGAGGAAACCAGGGTTAGGTAGTCGATAAAGAGGAACTATCCCTGGTTACGTCATCAGTTGCAGCAGCCGAGGTACATAACAAGGACGGTGGAATGGGGAGGAAGATATGAAGCTTTAAAAATGCATTTATTGTTAGTATCCGACATTTGCTTCAGTGCAGGGTTCCCCTCTGATTTCACTGTGGTAATCGTAAAACGGACCGCCTCTGTAGTCTAGTGGTCAGAGTTCCTGGCTACAGACCCGGAGGTCCCGGGTTCGATTCCCGGAGTTACCAGATTTTCTGAGTAGTGAGTCTGGAACGGGGTCCACTCAGCCTGGTGAGTATAATTGAAGAGTTATATCAAGGAAATAGCGGCTCCGGTTTATAAAACCAAGATTAACGGCCGTGGGGATCCGTAGCACTGACCACGCGACACCCTCTATCCGCTATAGTTGGCACTAACTTCGCCGACAAGCGGCGGTCGCTCGGTCGGTATATTTCGCTTGCGGACTACAGGCCACGGGGTTTGTAAAACGGGAAATGTCACTCACAGTGGGAATAGTACAGGGTAATATTTTTTGAACAGCGTTAACAATAAAGAATGTCGTCTTCTGGGATGTGGCGCAGTGTGAACCGAAGTTTCGGACGAACGTATCGCCTCCATTTTCAGGGTAGAAAAATCCGCGAGAGAAACCTCTTGAGTAGGTGACTGCAGACTGAAATGGAGGCGTTAGATTCCTCCGAAACGTCGGTTAATACAAGATCTACACGGCGCCACATCCTAGAAGACTGCATTCTTCATAGTCACCGCCGTGAAAACCTGAAATCTTACACAATATTAACAATAATTTAAGTACGATTGTACAGTGTACACGTAACAGAACTATTCCCTTTGTATTCACATGCAGTAACTGTTCAATGTTATGCTATATACTTAACTCAGACTGGAAATAAGTCACAGCTCTGTATAATGATTAAATAATTGTTATAATATTTGCTCAAATTGGCGAAGAGTCAAAATTGTGTATTTTTTTCATTTCATGCATCTTGTTGTGTAGTAATATACGATTTCTTTATTAAAACCGTCACAACACAACTATATTGAGGTCAGTGCCAAGTCTGGCTCTGCTACATGTTTCGGCTATTAAAAACCATCATCAGGCAAATAAATACATGGCTAACATATATACACCACCGAACTGCAGTACTAGTAAAATTGGATACAATAATAGTAATTTAAAAAATACTTGGCGAAAAATACAATAAATTAGATTATATAAAACTAAAGTTATAATATCGCCGGTTAGGGTAGCCGAGCGGTCTAAGGCATGCACTGTCTTCGCTCGCTCGGAAGCCGGGATCGTGGGTTCGGATCCCACTCAGGGCATGGATGTTTTTGTGAGTTTTTCTGTGTTTGTGTACAGGTAGAGGCCTTGCGACGAGCTGATCACCCGCCCAAGGAGTCCTACCGAATGCGTAAGATCTAGTAAACCGAAGTGAAACGGAGAGTTTCATGGAGGTAGGCCTAGGCCCAAATTGGAGCTGTAGCGCCACAGGGGGGGGGGGAAAAAAGTTATAATATAAAACAAGAGTAACATTTTTCGAGTGATGTTTGCGTCATCGAGTCAGTCGTTGGTTTCTGTGATTTAGTTGTGTTCCCAAGGACAAATTGGAGTATTCTATATTTTGTGTATATATAAACTCTTATTGGAGGCTCGTGATGTAAATGTAGTAATATTAATGTTAATTATTTAGTCGGTGCCTCATCTTACAAAGTATTATCCGTTCTGTAGGAAATGTAAACAACACTCGAGAGTGAAAATTTATGAAAACGCACGAAGAATCCGTCACGTCACTACGGATCTTCTCTGTGAGTTAGAACGACATGTGTGGGAATGAATTCTCGAAGTCTCGTTATAACAATTTACGTTATGTGTTTGCCACTCCTCGGGCTTTTCTATTGGTCTCGAGTGTCTGCCCAGTTCTGAAAAGACATTTCCACCCTTGTCCATATCCCACGAGAACTAATCGTGTGAGGCGTCATTGTTTACTTTACGTTTTGGTCCACTGATTTCAAAGTTCAAAAGCGGAATGGTCGTATCACCGTGACGTTGAATTGAGAATGTTATTCTACCAGAATATTTCGAATCTCTTTCTGATTGTGTCTTCGCTACAAACTCCA